GACCCCGGATTAATAAAGGGACTAAGCCGACAAGAAAATGAATGAATGAATGAAGTTTGACACTGTCCACTTGGATTTGCAAAAATAAAGCATTTTGCATGCCAGGCCAGTAGGTGGCGATGTCACTTTGTAAAGAAACACAATGCCTAAGACTAAATCTGTAATTTATATGCACATGATGTGACTATTTAAACAAAATAATATTATTTTATGTACATATGATGATGGTTCATTCATTCATTTAACTTTGGCTTTTTTCCCTTATTTATAAGGGGTCGCAACCGTGGAATGAACTGCCAACTATTCTGGCATATGTTTTAACAGAGGAAACCCACACTAACACTGGGAGAACGTGCAAACTCCACACAGAAATGCCACCTGGCCCAGCCGGGACTCAAACCAGCAACCCTCTTGCTATGAGGCGACAGTGCTAACCACTGAGCCACTGTGCCGCCTGACGATGATGGTTTCACTTTTAAAAAAATGTGGTAATTAATGACCAAAAATGTAAACACTTGACTGACCAAAAGCATATAAAGTAAAATATATATATAAAATGTGTCATGTAAATGCCCTTTAGTTAACATTATTTAATAATTCTTTGTTCATATTAGGTAATTATGTTACTATGCCAAAAGATAAAGCAATCTTGCATATTAAGACTGGGATTGTGTGATGAGTTGAATTTCATGTTGACTTCAATAGCACGCTTTGGTCTGCTCTCAGGTGCTACATACATATATGTCGTTATAAAATATCAGGTTGTGGTCCACGTCTAGAAAACGTAATCGCAGGGAAGTTCAAGTAAAATCTCACCAGAGTCCTTTGAACCACAACAGAGCTTTCAACAGTCAACGCCTTCAGCCAATCACATTTGTTCGTGTTATGCTAAAGAAATGAGCTCTGCAAAGCACACAAGTTGGACTTATGATATTGCACAGACCATAGCTGTCCGTGTTCGTTTGCCTATAGTGAAGCACCAACAGTTTTCCTGCACAGTTTATGAGGAAAGGGTTAGTGATCCATTCGGGTTTACTAGTCCGTCACTAATCACAGGGATTCCTATATTTCAGTGCGCAGCCAAACGTGGACAAATGTCTTTAAGTGCTACTGAAACACATCTAATCGGACAGTCTTCTAGAAAAACAAAGCAATTTTGGTTAAAAAAGAAAGAAAGGCGTGGCTTTATTTCATTTTTTGGCATCTGTTCTGGTGATTTTTTTTCCATTCATATGTCTGTTGTTCCTACAATGGTTTAGTTTTCATTCAGCATAGCATCTTCTCACTGCAAAAGCTCCTTGCTTGGTTTTTCTGTCTTGTTTTCCAGTACAAATATGCAAACATTCTTAAATGATGATGCATTTACTTATAATTATCAAAATGTAATGAGCTAAAAACAAGAATAAATATCTGCCAGTGGAGTAAGACAAATACATAATGCATATGTTTCACTAAAGTTTGATCCATTTATAATTTTTTTTCGTGATCATTTAAAGGGATAAGAAACTCAAAATGATGCTGTCAGTTTTATTTATTTATTTATTTTATTTTTGTTCTGTTGAACACAAAAGAAACTATTTTAAAGAATGTTGGAAACCTGTAACCTCTGACTTCCACACTGTAAAACCCAAAAAGTTAAAGTAACTCAAACCATTTGAGGAAACCGATTGCAACAAGCTATTTAAGTTCAAAATCTAATCCTAATGAGTACTGTGAACTCAATCCATTTGAGTAAATGAAGCAATTTGAGCACAGTAAAACCCAATAAATGAAGGGAACTCAAACCAACTGAGTACTGTAAAACCCAATAAGCTAAGGCAACTCAAACTGTTTGAGGAAACCGATTGCAACAAACAATTTGAGTTAAAAAAAAAACTAATCTATATGAGTACTGTGAACTTAAATTGAAGTTGAAGTAACAATGTATTTTGTCACCATCCTGCAGTTTGTCTCCATTCCCCTAGAGGTCCCCGTGTTTCCCCTCTGTATTTGTTCTTCCTCATGTGTTCTTGTTTACTTAATTTAGATCACCTGTGACTTGTTCCAGCCAGTGTATTTAAGTTGTCACTTTGTCTGTGTTCCTCACTCGGTGTTTGAGTCATCTCTTGTGAACTTGCCTTGCGTTTCCCTTGATCTCCTGAGCTACGTCTAGTAAGAGTGTTTTATTTTCCTTGTTGCTGACTGCATTAATTATCTGTTTGTTTTCTCCCCTCGTGGAGTTTTCTTTACATGTTTATTATACTGTTAGAGTATTTTGTATACCTCATTCTGAGAAGAACCTAAGTTGTCTGTTTTGCTACCTCATTTTTGAGAAGAACCTAAGTTGATATTTTTTTTAATAAATCCTTGTTTTCTGGATTCCCTCTTGGAGTGTTTTCGTTTGGGTCCAACACAACTTCCTCTGTGGCTTAGTGGTATACACATCGGTTTCCACACCAGAGACCCGGGTTCAAGGCCCGGTCGTGACAGTATTTAATTAAGTCATTACCTTCAACAGCGAGTTCAAAACTCTTTTTAAATGAGTAGAATTAACTTTCAGTAAATTTTGAGTTAACTACACTCAGTTCATTTGATAAATTTGACTGTTGGGCTTTACAGAGTATAGTAGGGATAACAAATATGTAAAAGTAAGTAACCAGATTGAATTAGTCGAATGGTTTAAGTACCGACGCACTGTAATTGATAATAAATTAAATTTGAATGAAAATACAGAAAGACTACAGTTTGTAGGACAGGCTAATGAAGACTTTATTTTCTCTGAAAAGTTTAGTATTGGGGGACTCTGATATATAAGGCCCATGTAGAATCCATTTGAACCTTTTGGTTGAATTGTTGGTTTGTTCTTTAAGAGTAAAACAGAAGAACTCACTGTCTTTAGGTTATAAATACCTGCAGAAAAGTATTAAGAAAGTGAAAGTGCCGGAGTTATCCGATTTACATGACATCCGAGTGTTAAAGAAATCTCATCAGATTACATTTCGTATATATCCCATCCTCATTTTGATTTATTTCAAATCCTTCCCTCAGGTTCTCGGTATAGGCTCAATTTGTCAAGGACCAACAGATTTAAATTTTTATTTGTTGCTTGTGCGATTGATTTGCTGAATTTTAATGGGAAGAGGTAGCCACTGTTTTTAGTACTATTAATATTGTTTAATGAAGTGTGTGGAATGATATATGTGTAGTAAATCTATTACGCTGCAGAATAAATCACCCCAAAAGGGGACAATAAAGTTTACAATAACAGTAAAGGCTGATTTCTACTTCTGCGTCAAGGGTATGCGTATGCTCCGGGACAGAGTTCACGCGGTCACATAGCCCTCACTGTGGCTGACGCTGACGTGCACCTCTCAAAAAATTTAACTACACGTCGAAACAATGCGTAGCGCATGCTCTTTGATTGGATGGCTTGGTAGCTGTGACGAGTGTGGGAGGGGCAGAGAGCCACGCAAACCTGTTACAGCAAGTGATTACAAGTGTTGAGTCCTCTAAAGAAGCTCCAGTTGGAAACTGTTGTTTTGTGTTTACCTTATGATTAAAGTTGTTGCACGTCTGCCAGTTCCCACCTCAGAATGAGTGAGTTTTAGCTTCTTGTACATTAAGGTAGCGAGAGAGAGAGAGAGCGAGAGAAGGCTGTGTGAATTGCGTGTGCGCGCACACACACACATACATGGCGGTAGTCACCATGTGCAAGTTAAAGCCAAAGTCACGTTAAACTATTGGCCCTCATCAATATTTAGAGCAAATCAGCTTTCTCTTGTTTACAATTACTCTTATTGGTTGGTAACTGTATTTTCTAAATTGCAGAGGCAGTCCTGCATTTCATTTCTTAAAATCACGAGTAAATCTGATAATGAGCCTGATTAATCAAGATCAGGATACAGAAGCAAATCGATCTTAAGTCAGCCACAGAACATGTAGGAAGAGGTAACTCTGGTTCTCTTCTTGAGGATTAGACTGAGTCATTTAAATATTATTTTCACTTGGCACATAACAGTGAAGTGAACTGAATAATGATGGTTCAGACCATTTATGTTTGTAGCTACATGTTTTTATTATCCATGACTGACCTATAACCTTATATGGCACACAATAATTAAAGAGCGTTCAGAAATGTGATGCACTTTTTTGCGCTATCACTGTTTAATGACGCCATGTTTCAGGAAAACTGAAATTGTGTGCTGGACGTCAGTCAAGGTAACTTTTATTTCTTGGTTTGGTCTGAAATTATGGTCCCACTTTATATTGAGTGTCCTTAACTAATATGTACTTGCATCAAAAAATCAATACAAAGTACTTACTGTGTTTATAATGTATTTGAGAACACTTGTGGTGCTCTTGAGTTGGGATAGAGGTTGGGTTATGAACAGGTTTGGGGGTATGGGTAGGTTTAAGGGTGGGTTAAGGTGTAAGGGATGGTCAATAGTGTATTTACAAATGTAATTACAAAAGTTAACTACAGATGTAATTACATACTTGTATTTAATCAAGCATACACAGTAAATACATGTATTTACACAATAAGTGCATTGTAACAAACTATTAGTACTGTGTAAGTACATATTAGTTAAGGCCACTTAATATAAAGTGGGACCGAAATTATTTATTTATAAATTAAGCACTGAAGGTAAAACAAAAAAACAAAACACTGGCAAAAAAACACGACACAGAGGAACCTTAAAACCTCACTGCCAGCTAGCATTTTGAAAGAGCAACACAAACAGCACACAGAAGTATAAATGCGCAACTACGCGCAAGGCAGGCACAGTGGGTCATGTCGATCACTTGACGCAGAAGTATTAATGAGACCTGATGATAACAGATTTCCAACGTTCTTCGAAATATCTTCTTTTGTGTTCAACAGAACAACAAATAAAGCTAGTTTAGAACGAATGAATAGTGAGTAAATAATGGCAGAATTAAATTTTTGTGTTTTCAACTATCCCCTAAAGATTGTTTAATTATTTATACTGAAAAACAAGACAAAAAAAGGGACATCATTGTGTAACAATCTGTTGAAAGACATTCCAAAGGATTGTCTTGTTCCATTTTTATTTATTTTTTTGAAGCTCCAAATGAAATCCTCAGCGTTTACAGCTGCTCCGAGCGGATGACATGGAAAAGCGTAACGTTGTACAGGACCTGATGTCCGTTATTCCAAGCATACAGTGCTCGATCCCGCGGGTTATAGTCCAACATGGAGATATGCGAGTACTTGTTTTGCAGAACGATATCGATGTACTCATATGTGGAGGAGTTGGTGTGGTAGGCGTAGTAGACTTTTGTCCCTCCCGAGTAGCCGTTGGTCACGTACAGCGTCCCGCAAATCATAAAGGACTCCCCAGCACTGCGCCTCGGATGATTGGTGGTCCAGGACTGGATGATGTGCAGGGTGATTGGGTGGAGCTTGCTGATGACGATGTTTCCCGCGTTCTGATTGGTGGCATAGACGGCCCACAGCCCGCCCTCGTCGACCATGAGGTCGATGTCGGAGTGTCCGCCCCAAGCGTAGTGGTAGGTGTTGCTGAAGCCGGCGTTGTCCAGTCGCTGGGATTTACTCATGGTGGAGGTTTTGAAGTCGAACTTGATGATCATGTTGCTCTGGAACTTGTTGAAGTAGATGGAGCCGTTGTAGACCACCTGACCCGTTCCAGACCAGGGGTGCGGGAGCCGGTGGGACGTGAAGTTGTCCGACGTCATGAAGTCCGCCATGGATTTGTACTCCCGCACAAATCGGTTGTTATGATAACCGTCCATGTACCACACCTGGAGAGAAGTGAGAGAGTACATGATTAATTGATATAAATTGATAATAATACCAGGATATGAGTAAATAAGACACATCTTTGATAGCACAAGTATGCATTCATAATGGTTTTTGTCATTTGTAGCATTTGCTCACTGGAAAACATTTCCTGTTGGCCATCAGCAGGACATGTTGCATAGGTTTTGAGGTAGATTCACTACGTCCTGAAGGCTTATGAAGAAAAAGTACATACTTTTGATTGTGTACAGAAGAGTTTGAAAGTATTAGGACCCACTTCCTCGTTAACGGACCGTTATGTTGCTTGGTTATTTCCCCTGTCAATCACCTCGACACATCCTCCTTATTCCTTTCATATTTAATGTCGGCATCTAGCTCTCTGCAACTCTCACATGGTCTCTCACATGCAACTCTCACAACTCTTACTCCCCCCTGGTTTTAATAAGGTGCTATACAAATTAAATTGATTGATTGATTGATTGATTGATTGATTGATTGATTGATTGATTGATTGATTGAGGGTTAAACTTGAGGACTGTGTAAATGAATTCTGGATTCTGCATTACATTGATTGACTAGTTAGTCATCTGTAAGGTAGAAGTTAGTCATCAGATAGACAAATTGGCCAAAGCTCAATTCAGTAAACTTCTATTTGCAACCCAGGCTCATTCTGAAAACATAGTCCCACGGATGTTTCTGGAGACTGCGAATTATGTAGCCTGAGGTACGTATGGCTGCATTTAATTTTTTAAGCAAACGCTACGGGCTGGTAAAATGCTGTTTCTTTTTTACCGGCTGACCGCTTACCCCCGTGTGGAGGGCTTTCCCTCCACAACCAGTTTGTCCAGTTAGCTCATCGTGTACGTCAGCGGACTTGAGACTGCTTTTGTAAACTGTTGTATGGGTTTAGGGAAGTAAGTGGACAGGCAGGTCAATCAGTAAAATTGGTTGGGTTCAGGGAAGGAGGAGGGTGAGTCGATTGGCCCAGTCAATCATTCAGTCAGTCAGACAGACGGTCATTCGACAGCGGCCTCTAGTGGGTTTACGTTAGAACAGCACGGGTGCGAATGCCACTCCTGAGAGACATTTGAGATACGAAAAAACGAACACAGCGACCTCTCGTGGATTTGTGAAAACAAAAACTGCAAAAATACCTCCAGGAATGTATTTCCTGGTCTTCAGAAACATCCACGGGACTACGTTTTCAGAATAAGCTTGTGTTGCTTAATTCTCTTGATCCAGCTCAACGTTTTGTGCACTGTGGGTAACTGAGCTTCAAATTCAAAATATTAATAGAGAAGAAGCCAATTTAATTCTGAATCTTGCACAACCCTGACTGGGATACAGAAAAAAGTCCTTATGTTCGCTTATATTAAAGTAATACATCATAACACCAGCCACTATAAGCAGTCCATATGGAGGTAAGCGGTCACCGGTAGTGCAATAAGGAACACGAGCTGTATGTGGCGTCTAATCACCCCGTAGTGTTCGTTTCTCACACAAAATACAGCCAGGTGAAGCCACTGAAGACATTTCCAGAAAGAATTGCATAATGGATTAAAACCTATCTGTACTTTTCAACATTCACAATTCCATCAATTCAGATAGTATTTCCTAACAACACTCATAGAAATGCAGCTTAAACCAGGACAAACAACCTCTCTCCAACATTGTCATCTCTTAAGTAGTTCAACCAAAATAATTTAAACTCTTAACTCCTATCCTAAACCATACATCAGCTAAAAGATTATTTATTCATCCTATAATCTAAATTTTTTTTAATTTATTTTTTAATTGACAAAAAATGTACACTTATGACTGATTTTGTGTTTTAAATCCATTATGCCACCAGTAAAACAAGAGTTAATGTTGGCTTAAAACATTTGCACAGAACTGTATGTTCTTATGTTCGCTTATATTGAAGTTATAGCCACTAGAAGGTATCTCTACCAATATCCATAAATTATACGAAGCTTACATTTTTGGCTTGATATTCAGAAATCAGAATTCAAGCAGGTTAAACAGAACGACTGCTCAACCCGAAGTGGGTCAAGTTGTTCTTTATTTTTTTCCGTGTGTGCATTCAGTGCTTGTTGTTCTGGCTTGAATCTGCCGGCGCAGCAGGACGTGTTGAGTAAGGTCTTAATTAAATTCCAGACTGAAGGTATCCATCCTTCCCTGGCGGTGGCAGAACAAAAAAAAAAAAAAAAAAAAACTGACAGCCAAGACGGTGCTGTGTGTGCCAAGCATTACCAACCCTGTAGGGATAATTCCAGATCATTCCGGATAAAAGCAGACTCTCCGTTGAGAATTCTCAGCAGTCTCTCAGTGAGCGAATGGAAAGGTTTATGGAATATTCCAGAGCACAGCAGGACATCTGTGTGCTCTCTGTAGGAGGCACGAAGCAGTAACCAACATCTACTGTATATATCAACATACAGATGCATCTCTTCTGCATGTTTAATCATATATCGCAGTCCTTCTGGAAAGACACTCTCTATCACAATTAAATTTGATTATATTTTAGTGCATTTAACAGCATTTCTCAAACTATAAATGTTTCCAAATCAGCTTTATGCTGAAGATTTTGGTAATATACTTTCTGTGATTGAGTACTATGCAAAACTAGAGATTATTAAACCTTCTAAGATAAAAGTAATACTAAATAATACCAAAAACTACCACGTTTTTGCTCAAATTCTGGAACTGTTCTTTGCCAGATGGCTGTTACTTAAAAATGTAAGCAATGGCAATGCATAGGAACACAATAGGGTTTAGCATAAATATCAGATCATTAAGACTGTTTTGCATTTATATGTAATCTGACTGTGATCTTTGGTTGTAAAAAGCTCACGATTAAAAATGTTTTTAGTGTCTGGCTCATAGTGAATCCTTCTCTGGGGTTTGCTTGAGTTGTTTAAAATGTGCATTTAAAAATACATCATGCACCAACATCAACAACAACAACAACAACAACAACAAAAACATTTCAAAACAGAAAAATATCCCTGCGGTTTTCTATATTGAATAAAAAATAATTTGAAAAGGAATGAAAGAGGAATAACAGACTTAAATATTTGTTTTTTAGCTGCACTGTTATATTCATATTACTATACTATTGAAGTACTTTATCAGTGAAATAATTATGTAGTTTCTCTAATTGATTAAAAATAATGTTATTAAATAACAACAATAATAATAATAATATTAATAATAATAATAAAAACTTGTATTATTATTTTCTGAAATACTTAGCAATTAATTCGTTTTAAAGTGGTATTTTCTAATTGACTTAAAATTTTATAATTTTGATTTTATAAAATTTGATTATTAATTAAAATTTTATTTTATTTGAAAATGCCCATATAATTAAGTTACATAATGCACATAAAGATTTATGGCTGGTTTAAATACAATTATTTAATTATTATTTAAAGTTTATTTATTTTTAAAGTTTATATACTTTATTAAGTACACCTTACTAGTACACCCTTCAGAACTGCATTAATCCTTCATGGCATAGATTCAACAAGATACTGGAAATATGCCTCAGAGATTGTGTTCTATATTGACATGATAGCATCACGCAGTTGCTGCAGATTTGTCGGCTGCACATCCATGATGCAAATCTCCCATTCCACCACATCCCAATGGTGCTCTATTGGATTGAGATCTAGTGACTGTGGAGGCCATTTCAGTACAGTAAACTCATAGTCATGTTAATCTGAGATAATTCACGCCTTATGACATGGCGCGTTATTCTGCTGGAAGAGAAGACTAGCCATAAGAAAATGAGAACACTGTGGTCATAAACGAAATGGACATGGTCAGCAATAATACTCAGGTAGGCTGTGGCGTTGACACAATGCTCAAATGGTACTAATGGGCCCAAAGTGTGCCAAGAAAACATCCCCTACACCATTACACCACCACTACTAGCCTGAACTGTTAATACAAGGCATGATGTATCCATGCTTTCATGTTGGTGATGGCAAGCTCTGACCCTACCATGCGAATGTCGCGGCAAAAATCGAGACTCATCAGACCACGCAACATTTTCCAATCCTCTATTGTCCAATTTTGGTGAGCCTGTGCAAATTGTTGCCTCAGTTTCTCTAGCTGACAGAAATGACACACGGTGTGGTCTTCTGCTGCTGTAGCCCATCTGCCTCAAGGTTCTACATGTTGTGTGTTCAGAGATGCTCTTCTGCAGACCTTGGTTGTAACGAGTGGTTATTTGAGTTACTGTTGCCTTTCGATTGGCTCAAACCAGTCTGGCCATTCTCCTCTGACCTCTGGCATCAACAAGGCATTTGCGCCCACAGAACTGCCGCTCACTGGATATTTTCTCTTTTTCAGACCATTTAATGTAAACCCTAGAGATGGTTGTTTGTGGAAATCCCAGTAGATCAACAGTTTCTAAAACACTCAGACCAGCCCGTCTGGCATCAACAACCATGTCACGTTCAAAGCCACCTAAATCACCTTTCTTCCCCATTCTGATGCTCTGTTTGAACTGCAGCAGATCGTCTTGACCAAATGCATTGAGTTGCTGCCATGTGATTGGCTGATCAGAAATGTACCTAATAAAGTGGTCGGTGAGTGTATATAATTACTTATCAAAAGTTTTTTTTTTCTTTAATAAATATCTTGGTTTCCAAGAAAGTATTTATGTAATGAAAAATAGAGCAAAATAGTAATACTGTTATTGTGTATACTAATTTGTAATGTCAATAGCCATATTTACTATTACATAGACCAGGGGTGCTCAATCCTGTTCCTGGAGATCTACCTTCCTGTACAGTTTAGCTCCTACCCTGATCAAACCACCTGAACCATTTAATTAGGACCTGAAATCCACTTGATAATTAAAGACAGGTGTGTTTGATAAGGGTTCCAACTGAAATCTGCAGGAAGGTAGATCTCCAGAAACAGGATTGGCCACCCCTGACATAGACTATTAATAAATAAATAGTCAATGAAAATTAATTGCACAGTATTA